GGGGGGGGGGGGGGGGGGGGGGCTAAAGTGTGGGGAATAGGGTTGGACGAAGTATTTCGGGGGAATGAATCTGACGTGAGACATGCACTGGAATTTTGTGTCGTTTCTCATTCCAAAGCTGAGTAAATTCCGCGGATGAAAATGGGACATGAATTTGTGGTGCTCCAGTTACTTCTGGGATATTAAAAATCTGTATTTTTTTATTTCGAATTGCAGACATTTTTCTTTTTGACAGTTCGAGAGGAAATTTAACGCACTCATGCTTACAACCCCCCGGCGTCATTTATTATTCATGGAGCTGATTTTTGTTTGTTCATGTCCTTACAGTCTGCGATAAAACTGGTTTATTCGACTGAAATGCACGATTTTTTCGTTAAGAAAAACATATTTTATGGATGAAAAATATTGCTTTGCATTATTATTATTTTAGTATAATTTTTTTAACTGTCTGAAATGAATAAAGATGTGATTTTTTTGCGAAAGAATTCCCATAATCAATGAAAAGATACGTCTCGTCTTCTATATCAGCAAAAACATCGTCTCGAAGACTTTGACACTCTCATAATTCCCTCATTATTCACGATTGACAGATTTCTCGTCCTAAAATTCTAGAAAGATTTTTTCCAATGATAAAAGTCTTGTAGCAATCTCAACGAATGCAGAAATGGAATTACGACTCTCATGTATTATTCATGAATTATTTATATAATTAATGATTTTTGTTCGTTCATATCGTTATATTTTGCGATGAAACAGATTTATTCCATCGAATCGCCTAATTTTTCCCTTCAAAATGAAATTTCTCGAACGGGAAATACGATTTTAGAATTTTAAATATCCTGAAACAACGAAAATGAAAATATTTTCACGAAACAATGCCCTCATTACTCCCGATTGACAGATTACAAAACTCTTGCAACACTCTCAACAAACACAGAAATAGAATGACTAATCATTTACTAATAATTCCCTCTAACACCTGGCCATCAACAGAAGCAGGAACACCCCTTCAAATGCGCCAGTAAAGTCGCACAAACCGTTGTATCGAAAAAATTTAAATAAATCCCTCGTCCCAATCCTCCAGGATATTAAAACTCTCCTCTTTATCTGAATGTGCATCACGCTACAGTATAATGCCCATAAAATATTTTTTCCTCCCAGCTAATCCCCCATTTACCGATGTTTTTTCATATTAGTTAAGTGTTGTTAACGAGAACATGTAGAATAATCCCAACAGTAATCTCCGAGTCGACGAATGGTCTTCATGAAGCGATTCTCCAACATTCCAAACCTCTTTAAACTCCCTGCATTCTATTTATAATCAATTCAAATAATATTCACCTTATCAGGATGCACAGCGAGACAAGCCTTCCTATACGCCTTCTTGACATCAGCAGGAGAGACGAGCTGATGCATCTCATACCTCTGCCACCTGTCAGCCTCGGGCCAAAGTACAGTGTGCAGAGAGCACAGAAGTGCCCTCAGATTCCCCTTCTTGCCCTCAGTCCACTCATTGACCTTCATCCTGTCAGGATCCATAGTCTTCGCCTGCTCGACCTTCCTCATCTGATTGATAGTCTTGGGGCTGTCCTTGTCAGCCTTTCTCGAGCTGAAGAAATTGTACCCCTGACTCCCCAGCAAATCCTCAAAAGCATCGCCACTCTTGGCTGGCTTACTATTATTAAAAACAGATTCACTATTCCCCTCATTACTGGAATTTGTTTTATTGTGCATACGTGGACTAGAGTGTACTGGAGTTCCAGCCGCAGCAGGACTAGACGATTGTGGAGTATTTGAGTCGCGTGGTGTGCCATTCCAACTTGAATTCAGTCCAGCACCGAGTGATCCAGCTAAATTAGCGAATGGATCTTTGCTCTGGGCTGAGAAATTGGGAACACTGGAGTTGCGTGGCATTTCCTCACCAGGTGTCTTCAGTGTTGTGCCCTTAGTCCCACCCCAGCTACCCATGAGATCATTGGCACCTGTGGAGCCCAGTGGATCGAAGAGAAAATCACCTGGCGATGACTTCTGGGTTTTGTTCTGTCCGAATAAGAGATCATTGCCAGAGCTCTGATTACCGAACAGCAGGTTGTCCTTGTTGTCGTTGGGAATTTGTTCCTCTGGCTGTGGAAACGATGCAAATCCCCCGAAGATGTCACTCTCTGCTTGACCACCTGAGAATATGTCCAGACCTGGATTCGGGGGAACTGGGTTCACGCTGTTGGCAGCCTCGGTGGACGCCCCCAGGTTGAGGAGATCAGCCTCTTCGAAGTCGACTACTGGCTTCTGAACGAGCTCTTCCTCTTCCTCTGGGGGATCTGGGTCTGGAGTATTGAGGGGCTCCTCAGGCACTGGGGCCGGGGCGGCCGGTGGGGGAGGCCTCTCTGGGGCTCTTTTGGGGTGGGAAACTGTTCGGAAGTTCTCCAGGGTCTCTTCCATCTCGAGGGTCGAACCGAAGAGCGGGTCTGGGGCCAAGTTTTCCTCGCGAGAGGCTTCCACCTCCCAGGGGGCTGGGATTCTTGAGGTCTTCGTGCTCTCTTCACCGATCATTACGTTCAGAATTATCCTGGAAATTTTAAGATTGTGGGCGGTCCATGGTTAAGGATATCCTAGTATTTTGAATATTTTTTCAGAGCTTTTATTTAATTCAATATTGAATAAGTAAAGGTAAATGAATAGATAAATGATTTTATGATTTAAACTTTGCAGGTCGGAATTTGAATCTCCATGTTGAACCGTTAGAAAACATTTTAAGAATATGAAAAAAAAATTAATTTAAACATTGCAATTTTTTAAAATTATGAGCATTTTTTGTAAATCGTAACAAATTCATTCATATTCAGAATTTTACCAGAAATTGATATCATGCCTAAAAAATTAGGTTTCTGAAAGTTTAAACCATTTAAATTATTTATTTATAAACAACGAATTTAAAAAAAATAATAATTCTGTGCAAAATGTAATTTTAATGACGCTGAATACTCATCATTTTTCAAATTTTTCTCAGGCAATTTAATTGACAAATTTGATAATTGAAAATTTTTGTGATGAAAAAAATTATGCATTTATCCCACTGATAAGTAATTTTTAGAATTGCGAAATATGGAGAGACCTTTTCTTTTGTCTTTATTTTGTCAGCTACAAAAAAAATATTCTCACATTTTGCCTTAAAACCCCTCGTTTTTTAGATATCAAAGATTTCCCTTTTTTAATTAATCGCAAAATCGTTTTATAAAAACACCCAATTGTCATTCTCAATCACTTGACATTCTCTCCTGAAATCCCAAGTTCCCAAAATGAATCAAAAATTAACAATACAATTTACTGTTTAATGATTCACTTCAACTGATTCCCATCCACATAAAAAAAGTGCATCAAATAATTCCCAGTATTCTCACCTGAATTGTCCCCCAATCTCGGCTGCATCATCCAAGTCTTTCCTCTCAAACTCCAAAGTGGATTCATTCACAGGCACATACCCAGTATGAAAATGTAGCGCAGCAATTTTAATCCCAATGACCCTCCCCAGCTGTTGTCTGGCATGAAAAACAACGATGGTAACGTCTCCCCTAACAGTGGCATCACCAAGGATTAAGCACGCCTTTCCCTCCATCATGTCAAAAAGTTTCATCTCCTCGTACTCAGCCCGTTTCGTGGAGTAAACCAGAGCTCCATTGCTGTAAATCTCAGCATAGGGTCTGCAGCCATCCCTAGCCCTCGTGAACAATGGAACAGGCTGAAGAATGATAGATCTAAGTGCTAAAGGCCTTGTGTGTGGATGCACCCCAGAGTGCAATATACTCATGTAATTAATCGTCTTGAGCTCCGAGGGCTGGAGTATTGGGGGCTGACACCTCCTCGTGGTGAACAGATTAACAGCTTCTTCAGGTGTTGATAGCACCCCAGAGTACAATAATAAAGCGCAGGCAACAGTTGCACTTGCTCTGCAGCCGTCTGAGCAGTAGAGAACAACAATGTGATTAAAGTCTGCGTCGAGGTATCTGTAGATGTCCTGGCAGATCTGGTAGAGAGCTGATAGCAGTGGAGCATTGGCATCAGGTGTGGCATAAGCGAAATTGCAGTCGATGTGCTTTCCAGGGAGTCTCGTGACGTTCGGTCGTCCTCGGGATAAATTGTACAGCTGGATCTTCGCTGGAGGTGGGTGTCTACTCTGAAGATAGGCCCTGACGTCCTCCACGTGGTTCGCTCGATATGCTGACTCGATTCCATCCGCCGGGTACGGCATCACCAGGATTCTTGATGTCAGGTAACTCGCGTCTAGCTCGTTACGAGCCATACTCTGCTGGACTGTGTGCATTACCTTGCTGGAGGTGTCCTTCAGGTTCTTCAGGATGCTGCCTGGATGTTTAGAAAAAATTTGTGAAATTTTTTAGAGGTTTGAGGGGTTTTATTTGGTCAGATGATTATCATTCTCATGGGGTTATTTACGAGGAATTTATAAACAGACATCGGCATAATCATCAATTTTTAATGCAGTTAAATTTTTAATTGGGCGATTGGCTAATATTGCTCAATAATTTTTGAATTATTAAATTGATTATCAATTAAATATTCAAAAGCAGAGCTATCAATCAATAATTGAGTTCGGAAGATTGACGATTATTTGGGTAAATTATTTAATCAATAGTCAATTGACAAGTTCATATCATCAATTCAAGATAAGTACACCTCAATTATTTTAAGGTGCAACTCCTGTTAATATTAATTATCTAATGATTGATGCTGATGCTGTTTATATTTCACAAATATTGATCGTCTTTATAATGAGATTGAAGAATACTAAAGATTTTGCCTACATTATTAGGAAAAAATTGAAATTTCATGAGCACTAATAATTTCCAGGAGAGTGCCGATGAATTCGATTTCGGGGAAAAATCATTAAATTTCGGATGTCACTGCAAATGCAAAACAGAAAAATGCAACAACCAGGAGCTTAATCCTGAATTATCGCTCTCTAATCCCCCAAAACTACCTCAAATAAAAAATTAATCCGAATTTAACCGATTACCTCCAATTGTATCAAACAAACAACCCCAGAGTGCAATTCACCACATCTAATTCCCCCATAAACCTCTTTAGCCATCCATAAACGCCCAAAAATATTACCAGCACCACCACGAAGAGAGCTGAAGAGTCCAGAGCCAGCCTGGACCTGCGGAGCTTTCGCCGGATAAATCGGTGAGGGTCGAGGTGGTGGGGCTGGCATTTGCTGTTGTGCAACCGGTGGAGATGGCCTAGGCGGTGGAGTTGGATTTTGTGCAGGAGGATTGCTGGGTCTGGGGGGTTGAGGCCTGGGAGGAGGTGCCTCGATCTTCGCCGATTCCCTAGGATCAAAGTTATTTGACTCAGCAATAGCTGCTAACCGCTCCAATAAGATCGACGTTGTCATTCGTTTGATGGGCGATGCCTCCAGGCACCCTCTGATCAGATCATAAAGACAGGACAGTCGAGGGTTGGGCGGGGGTGACGAGTACTTGGCGTTGACAATGGCGAGTTTATTTCCCTCTGGGAAGGGGTGCCTCAGCGTCACCAACGAGTACAGAATGCATCCCAGGGCCCAGCAGTCAGCAGGGGGACCTATTGGCTCGTTGTTCCACGTGTCCATCATCTCTGGGGATCTGTACATGGGGGTTGTGTACCTGGACATCTGATCCTCGAGGGTCGAACGTCTCTGGGCACTCCAGGAGGGGTCTGGGAGGATCTGCTGCGTGGAAGCACTTCCAAAGTCACAGAGCTTTATTATCCCATCCTCGGAGAGGAGAAAATTCTCGAGCTTTATGTCCCAGTGGACTATGGGCTGGGGCTGCTGACTGTGCATGTGGTGCACTGCTCTCGTTGCTTGGTAAGCTATTTTGCAGATCTGGGGGAGAGACGGGGGCGTTGTGAGGGACCTCAGGACGTCGGCCAACGTCCCTCCAGGACACAGCTCGGTTACCAGGAGGTATTCACATGACTTCTTGTCTTCTCGATCCAATCGCTGGGCGCAGAGGTACTGGATTATGTTTGAGTGACCTGAGAGCCTCTTCAGGGTCTCGATTTCCTGGATTATCGTTTTGTTCGCTTCCTCGTCCACTGCCATCAGTCTCTGGGGGAGTGAGGGGTGATCGTTAGTAGAAAAAAAATTAATTTTTTAGTTGAGAATATTGAGAGCTGGAGAAAAAAGTCAGATGTTAATTGAAATAAAATTATAATTTCAGATGGGGAATTGTTTCGGTTCTTTAATTACCTTCAGTGCGTACTCCTTGCCTGTGGCTATGTCCTCGACGGCGTATACGAGTGCCCAGCCACCTGGAAAACAAAATTGTAACGTTAGAAATGGAATTTTACAGTGCATGAACCCACGAAAGTCGACTTTCACTTGAAACAGTTGCAATGAAAATTGACGCGTTAGAAAATTCGAAAAACTAATGTGGTAATTAGCACGGATGATAAGGGCTGCAGATATTGTGGAGTAGAATTTCCGGTTCTATAATTAGTTCCCTGGATATTCAGGGAATTCCGATAGGGGAAAATGAATATTCTGAAATTATTTTTAAGTGACATTTACTCGGAATTAAAAGTGGAAAGAAATGGGGAGGAAAATTGAGGATGCTGATACTTGAATAATCATTAATGCACGTGTTTTCATTAGTGAAAGACCATTTTATCGATGAAGATTGAAGAAATGATGTTATCTTAAGATGTTAATTCGTAATTGATGAAATGAATGAGAGAACTCGTGAATAAAAAATTGAGAACAATTATTTTGAAAGAATTACGGTGAATGTGCCAAGATATTCATCTTCACTTGATTATTTACAAAAAATATTCGTCAGATTAACATTATTGAAAAAATATTTTATCGATTAAGATGAATGAAATGATGTTATTTTAAAATTTTGATTCATAATTAATAAAATGAACGAGAAAAATCACGAATAAAAAATTGAGAATAATTATTTTGAAACTATTACTATGAATATGTCAAGATATTCATTCACTCTTGACCATTAACAAAAAAAATTCTAGATTGAAATCGATAAAATGACAGAAGCATAAAAAATCATCAACAGCTGACCAAAGATAAAATCACGAAAACAAACAGGAAACGAAGAACAGTCGTCTCTAAACAATTCCCCATGAATATGTCAAAATACTTCGCTGACATGCGTCAACAAATATTTGGCACAACAGCAGCAACTGCAGTACTTCAAGCCCCCAATATCGAATTCCCAGAAAATAAAAAAAAACAGAAAACAGATGATTCACAGACTCACCAGCGAAAGGCTTCAATCCCACTCTGAAAAATCGATTCTCGATAAAAGTGGGTGGATTTAACAGTTACTCACCCTCAGCAATTAATCTGTTAACTCGTAATTTCACATTGTTGATCTCCACCACTTGTCCCACGTATTCATTAGTACTGCCATTGCCGTTCAGATAACCAAAAGCTGATTTGAAATAATCCGACATAATTAGTTAATAAATTAAATTCGAGGGTGATCAAGAGTCGGGGGAGTTTCGTGATTATTGCTTTATCTTAGGATAGAAAATCGTGCTGCCGATGCCGACCATCCATATTGGAACTCTGACGTCACGAGCATTGACATTTAGGTCCGTACCAAGGGGCACGTGAACCTCTCTCATTTTTTTTTTGTTTTTTCCTGATGTAATTTCGTTATTTAGTGAATTAAAAAAGAGACTGATAGCAGCACTTTTTTTATTATCATTATTTATTTTATTTTCATTATTATTATTATTATTTATTAATTTTTTATTTTAATCAAGGGCTTTCGGTTTCCTCAACTTTCATTTGAATTTTCAATTTTCAATTAAACATGAAAATTCAGTATTAAATTGAATTGAATTTCCACTTTCTTGTGCACTCAAAGATATTTTGAGATTTTAAATGTTAAAAATTTTTTTTTCTACATTATTTGAAAAAATTTATCAATACCAGAACTGAAAACTATGAAAACAAAAAATAGGGTTTTTTCTCGTAATTAATATTTCGTTTCAACAAGATTAAAATTTCCTTTTTTTTCTCCAAATAATTATTTTCTCATTCCCTAATATGTAAAACATATTTTCCACGCAAAAAATCTGAAACTCTTCGAAAAAAAAAATTACAATAGTTGAAAACTTTCGATTCTAAATCGAACCTCGCCCTCAAAAATTTATACAAGCCGCGATATATTCATGTAAATGAAGGCAGATTTTCATGAGATCAACCCACCGACAAGTTCCTCCGAGCAAAAGTCATCAAGGGTCAGGAAACAGCGTGCATGTGTCTTTCGTCTCAACATGGCGAGCGGCAAGGGTATCGCTGCTATTCTCCGACCCCGGGGAATTCGCATTATCAGTGCTAGTAAAGCCGGAAGACTGCAGTCCGGAGTTCTATCAAGAAGCAACGACTGTCGACGGCAATTTGCCACTGTTGCACTTGGTGTCGATGCCTGGGCCCGGAGTGGTAGTGAAAAATGTAACGTATTGAGTGATCACACGATTTTACCCCTGTATTACATCACGATTAGTCTTTCCCCCGGTAAACAATGTCCTGTAGAGATTGAGTCGTTGAATGCATGAGATGCCTGCTGGCTGTTGCAATACAGAGGATTTTGGCTATTGTCATTGCACCTGAGGCCTACCTCATGCTCCTGAACATTCTTAACCTCTCTCGAATCTTCCAGAAGAGGACGAAAACGAAATTAATTTTTTGGAGATAGAATTCTTAAAAAAAAAAGTTCCGCTTGCGTTCACCTTCGCAGCTCCATTCTGCCCCAGGGGGCTAATTTCCTCATTCTATTCTGCATTTTTATCTTGCATGTCGTGAACAAATCGCGAGTGAAAGGACCAATTATCAATTGGATTATTCGATTGAAGAGTGAAGTGATAACTCATGATTCATTGAATTCAACGAGTGCATAATGAAATTTCTCCTGACTGAACGATACGATTTGAATGAGTCGAGTCTCATGTTAAAGCCTAAAAAAATACCTTCAAAATGAAAAAAAAATTGTTGATTTTCACTCTGCCGATCCCGAGTTATTGATGATTAGACATCAAGCTCTATTTAATTTTGTCATTCTACATATTCAACTTTATTTAATTTTGCCATTTCAACTGTCAGTTTGCTAAACATTTTAGAATTGAAGAGAGTATTTTAAAAATTCTCTAAAGCTTTTTTAAATCCCCAATGTTCTTCTACTTAGACCTGGAAATATTTCCAATAAAATTAACAAATTTTTAAACCAACAAATAAAACATTGTATTCCAGATTCAGATAAATTCTTCACAAGAAATTTCCACGTGTCGTCACACCTCGCAGCTGCTCGAAAAGACTACTACGAGATCCTGGGTGTCTCGAAGAACAGTTCAGCCAAGGACATAAAGAAAGCCTACTACCAATTAGCAAAGAAGCATCATCCAGACACGAACAAGAATGACCCGAATGCTAGTAAGAAGTTTCAAGAGGTGTCAGAGGCCTACGAGGTCCTCAGCGATGACGCCAAGAGGAAGGAGTACGACACCTGGGGGGCAACTTCGGAGCAAATGGGAATGGGCGGAAATTCTGGACAAGGATTCCCCGGGGGTGGGGACGAGGCTTATGGGCATAATTGGAACTTCAGGACTAGTGTCAATCCTGAGGAGTTGTTCAGGAAAATCTTTGGGGAGGAGGGATTCAGGGCGCACTTCAATGAACAGGAGGATTTTGCTGACTCTAAATATGGATTTGGCACTGCTCAAGAGGTAAAATCATGAAGACTTGATTTTAATTCAATTTATGCATTAGAAAACATAAACATCTTTAACATTTCTTGAAAGCATTTGGTGAATTGATATTTTTTTTCAGGTGTTTATGAAATAATTGATTTAAATTCATTTTATGTATTAGAAAATCCGAAAATTGCAACAATTTCTCGAAAATATCTGGGGATTTGATATTCTCGAAATGTTTATTTACAAAATGAATTGTTGAGATTTTTTTCCACGTAGAAGAAGTTTTATTAATGAAATTTTGTTTTTTTTAGGTGATAATGAATCTGACATTTTCTCAAGCTGCTAGAGGAGTCAACAAGGAAATTAGCCTCAATGTTGTCGACACGTGCCCTAAATGTAACGGTTCAAGGTGTGAGCTTGGCACCAAAGCTCTGAGGTGTCACGTTTGCCATGGCACTGGAATGGAGACTATTAGCACTGGGCCATTTGTCATGAGATCAACCTGCAGGGCTTGCCATGGGACGAGGATGTATATCAAGTATCCATGTATGGAGTGCGAGGGTAAAGGGCAGAATGTAAGTGAAACAATGCATTTTCTTTTATTTAGTAAACATGAAATGATTTTTCCATCAAATTGTAATTTTTTAATGAAAAAATTCATTAAAATTTCGGTTTTTCTTCACTTGATAAAAATTTTCAACTGTGTAAATAATTATGAAATTTCAGATTTCACTGAAAATTAAATCAATTTAAGATTCAGGAATATATTTACTTGAATTTTCCGGATTTCTATTAATTTTCATGGAATAATTGAACTGAAATTTACACTTTCAACTTATTTTCCCGTAAAATTTAGAATTTTCAATGACGAAATTCTTTGAAACTTTAGTAAAACTATAGTTTAATGAAAATTTCTAAACAAATATTATTCTTTGAACATTATTCATGCAGTTACTTCTTCTCTCATTCCCCAAGTTTCATTATTTATTAAAAAAAACTACTTTAGAAGAAATAATAAAGGATTATCACCCTTAAAGGATAATTTTTTCTCGTTATTTGGACCGAAAATTTCCAGGTACATATCCCTCAAACCTTGTTCATTCAATCCCTTTTTTTCTTGTTCTCAAAGTTTAATCATTCACAGAAAAAAATTATTTGAAAAAAAATAACGAAGGCTCATCATCGTTACTCTATTTCAGGTCCAGCGAAAAAAAGTGATAGTTCCAGTACCAGCAGGCGTCGAAGATGGTCAGACAATTCGCATGGCAGTGGGTAATAAAGAGGTCTTCGTAACATTCCGAGTAGAGAAATCGCGTTATTTCAAGAGAGACGGAGCCGATGTCCACACAGACGCCGACATTTCCCTTGCCCAAGCAGCCCTGGGCGGCACAATAAGAATCCAGGGTGTCTACGAGGATCACACGATTCAGATAAAACCAGGCACATCATCCCACACGAAAATCCGACTGAGTGGCAAGGGAATGAAGAAAGTCAATGGAGTGGGACACGGAGATCACTACGTGTCCATCAAGATCACTGTCCCCACAACGCTATCCGAGAAACAAAAGGCTTTACTACTGGCTTACGCTGAACTCGAACGAGACACACCAGGATCAGTTTACGGAGTCACGAATAAAACTGATGGTAAGAGAAAGAGAAAAAAACGAGATATCCCAGAGTTTGAGTGAAGACTGAATTTATTTCGATGAATTTTATGGAGAAAATCTGTGATAGTGGAGGAGATTCATGTACCCCTTGGTCGCTTGAGGCTTTTCACTCGTGTAATTAATAAAGAGGACATAATTTTTCGAATAAAAAATTGTGAAAATTGCGTGGTGCATTCTTTCTTCAAAGCTTTTGTCTATGAAAATTAAGGACATTTCATTTTTAGGACGTTCGAGTAGTACTCAAGCGAAACAAGAGGTACAGGGGGAGAGGGAGACTGATGATGGTCTTCTGGGGAAAATCAAAAGGGCGATATTTGGGTAAAATTAATTAATTAGGTGAGTTTATAAAATTGTCAAGGATAAAATCCATTCATTTCTAGAGCAAGTAGTGTTACGAGAAAATGTCAAGAAACTTTGAGATTTCCAACGGAAAATGTCTCGACATTTCCTCTTAAAATCATTCTTTACCGACGATAAATGAGAAAAATATGAAGAAAAATAAATTCCTCACGATTTCAAATTTAATTTCAGGTACAAAACAGTGTTACGAAGGACCCTTACACCTACTGGAGTTGATACGACAAGCCCTGGGAGACATACCACAGAAAAACAAGGAAAACCCATCGTATTCACATCCACAAGGTCCTGGGGACGCGCCCCAGAGCAAGAGGACGAGCTCCACTAGTGGAACGAACAAAGCTGATGCTAAAAGTGACGAGCATAAATTGAAGATGGAACGGAAGATGTCATGATTTAACCTGAACTGCTGACTTCAATTTAAACAAAATTCAATTGTAATTGTACAATGATCCCAGTTGAATCCATAGTCGTTGTCTCGGGTTTATCAGTCTATTCTTTCTTGACTCGAGGGTTTTAATAATTATCTATGGGGCCCTGTGGATGGGTTGATGACGGAGTAGCAAGATTAAGCGCTTACAAATGTTAAAAATGTAAAATAAATTTTTCTTGTAAGTTAAAATTTTGGTTTTTATTCGGCCATTCCACTAATCCTCTTTGATTCACTTTGAATGTGAATGAATATAAATATTATATTTATTTCATTCGTCATCTAAAAAATTTCATTCATCTAAAAAATACTCATGATTTAAAAAATGTGAACATGAAATCTTTATTTCGGAAATTTTCAATTGAACGGGTAATGCCTGACATTGAATAATAGACTAATTGATTTTTTAATGACAGAAAATGAGAAACACTCATCTGCGGGTACTTAATTATTCATTCCCTAGGAACTTTCGTATTCCTGGTTTTGATAGTTCAAAAGTTTACCACTCGGTGGAAATTGATTACCACCAACTAGTATCTTTACACATGCACTTGGGAATAATGGAAGGTGCATTACAGATCGATGTTTCATGAATAATGAAACTGTTTTTAGCTCATTTACGAACGAATGTGCATGAATATTGTTTTCTATTCATCTGAAAATGGAGAAAATTTGTTTATTTTTTGATTGTAACTGAACCTTTTCTACAATTAAAAAAAACTGTTTTCACAGTTGATCAACGAAATAGTTAATAATGAAGTGAATTCGATGTTTTTATAAATGTGAAACTTTCTCTAAAGCAAGTAATTTCAGAAGAAAAAGCAAAAAAAATGTCTTGACATTTTCACCTGAAATAACTCGTAACAGAGTAAATTAAATAATTATTAGGGCTAGAATGATCGTGAAAAATTATGTAAAAATTAGGGAAAATTTATTCTTCAGCAGGAAAAATTTTCTCCAAAGAAATTTTTTTTTCAATTTTCCTCCAGATTCACTAGTTCCCAAGATAATTTCATATTTATCAAGGGAACATGCGATTTGTTGACAATTATTTTCCCCTCCGGGATAATTGAGACGTAAAAAAAATATATTTTTCATGCAAAAAAAAAATCTCTTGACATTTTCTCCTTATATACTCATTACGAAGATAACTAAATAATTATTGAGACTGTAACCATTGTGAAAAATGATGTGAGACTATGGAAAAACTTGATTCTTCATTCGAAAAAAAATTCCTCGAAGAAATTTTTAAAAAATTTTCCTCCAGATTCACTCGTTCCCAAGATAATGTCATATTTATGAAGGCAAACGTGATTTGTAGACAATAATTCGTCCTCCGCGACAATTGAAACATTAAAAACGCTATTTTCAACACTTAAAGTGCCTCAACTGTGTTCATCACAGCTGCCATTCCCCTCGTCTTGATCCAGAGGTATTCATAGCTCATCCACCGATGAATTCTCACAATAAATCGATTGAATGCAAATAAAATACCCCAATCACGGGAATCCCCAGGGTCGAACAATCCCCAGGGCCACTGGATATGTAATCATATTCGATCGGCATTTCTGCCCTGAACTACGCCTCGGTGAGTAGGTCATACTTCAAGCCAATGTTGGTGAGACTCTCCGAGGCTGACACCCGCAAAACTGCCACTGCAACAGCTGCTATTGTTACCGCACCCTCGAGATAGAGAGCGTAGAAAATTCGCACTAGACCGGATGTGTTTGCCAGACCACCGGCTGCTGTGAAGTCCAGGGGGAAGAGAAGGCTCGCTGCTACTGGACGCAGGCGAGCTACTCCGAATGCAATTATCCCCAGGATGTAATAAGCACCTGTTAAAAGGACATTTGTTTCAAGACTTTTTCATTTTCTCAAATTTTCAAAATTTATTTCATTCTCATCTCATTCATATTGTGCTGAATTTTAGAGAATTTCACCCTTGGAAATTCAAAATTTTATGGAAAGATCAATGGAAACTGTCAATTTTAATACAATAATAAAATTTAATAATTTTAATTTAATTTTAGTAAATAATAATAATTCAATGAAAGTTAATGGACACAAGAAAAATTGAAGTAAATACATTTTTTAAATTTTCAATTAATTGAAAATTCAAGTGAATTAAAAAATTCTCGTGTTCCTGCTGCTCAAATTTTGTTATTATTTTATTATTTTTATTATTTTATTATTTTTTCCATTTTAATCTCAATTTTCTGAACAATCTAAGAAAATTTACTAAATAAAGATAAACTTACCAATGCAACAGAATGGAACAGCCTTGACCCATCTGGGTGCCTTCAAGTTATCAGAGGCCTCAACCTCATGATCTCCATACTTCTTACGAATAGCGAATTTCTGCAGTTTCATTGCCAGAAACAATCCAACATTGAGAATGAGCAGAAAATGGGCAGGAATGCCAACAGCTGCGAAGACAACAGCAACAGTTCTGCCCGGTGTAGTGCGTGGCACTGGAGCCCCAAAACCTTCAATCAATGATTTCATCAGCGAAATGATCTCGATGGTAATGAGACCTAATTAACCGTGAGGACTAATCACCGAGAGTTGTGAGAAGAGAAATGGAAAATAGAACGCATCCAGGAAATGTCCAGAGCTGTCCCCCCTCACCACCTTCACCGTAGCCCGAGCTGATAGCAGCCAGGAGGAGTTTCTCATGCTTAGCAACGTACTGTTTAACTTTATTACCCCAGAGAGGCTCCATCTCCTCTTCCTCAGCCCGCAATTGTCGTAATTCAGTGGCCAAACCAACGGCTAAGTCTCGCTGCATGTCTTTCAACTCGTAAACTTGCTCTCTTTCTCGGGGACCTTCTGTGGCGTAGAACGACGCCGCACCGGCCACTGCCCAGAAGGTCAATAGCCATGCCAGACCTCGGGAGAAAATATTTTTAATTATTTTTAAGACACGTCATCCATGATTAATAATCAGGGAAGACATGAAATCTTCATAAATCTTCATAAATTGTAAATTATCTGGGTAATGAGTGGGTTTAGGAGAAAATTTGAGAAGACATTTTTTGTTGGAAATTTTGTAAGCTACAAGAAAGGTCTTATGAAGTTTTTCCGTAAAATCACTCATTCAGGAGATAATCTCGACTTTAGTACAACAGTTTTTGAACGAATTGTTCATTTCTTATATTGCTAATTGCTTAATTATCTCGATAATTAGCAGGTTTGGGAGAAAATTGTACTGAACATTTTCTTTTGGAAATTTCGTGAATAACAAATAAGATTTTGTGGTATTTTCTTCTAAAATCATTCGTTCACGAGATAATTCGAGATTTATCATAACACTTTTGATGAACATAATGAGGGATTCTAGGAAAAACATCACCTAATTTTTTTGACTCACGAAATTTCCGATAAAAAATGTAAATGTCATTTTTTTTCTGAAATTGTCTCTTTTCCAAGACAAATGCAAGATTAAAAAATAAATTCAGTTTTTTTGAATTATTCTTGAATTGTAAAAAAATTATTTCAGTTTTTTTGAATTATTTTTTTTCCAATTCAATGAATGAACAAATTTTTCACGTCTTGTTGAATTTGAAAATTTACCGAATTGGCAGAGCGAAAGTCTCCCCAAAAATCTGAGATGTTTCCACAGCCTCGAAGAAGTCTTAGGATTGCCACTGGCGTCCTCCTCGACGATATCCTTGAGCGCTGGAAAGACCTTCAATCGATAGGGCCCCTCCCCAAGGTGCGTCTGCACTCCAGTTGATTTAATAACTTTCAGACTTTTCTGATTGCCCTCGACCTCCAGCTGCAACGACAACTCCCCCGATAAGGTTCTCGAGTCGAAGGACATCGGAATACCTGAATGATAATAGCACTCTTCCGTTAGAACCATAACGAGTTTCCTTGTCACTCGGCATTTCCTCTCAGGACTTATCACTCCCCGGGAAATTACGCAATTGGCAAAAATGATGCTGCAAAAGCTCAATGAAACGTCGTCAAAAATTACTCAACGTTAATTACTCAAATTACTTACTAAACTTCAAACTATTGACCTTGAATGATTTTCCTCAAGATTCAGTATCACTTCGCTGTGATATAACAAAATTTTCCGTGGAAAATATCAGAGAGGATGATCTGTCTTTGAACTCTCGCACGTGCTGCATGAGCCTCACTTCCGGCATGAGTGATAATTCATCATCCCAACAAAACGTTTCTTTCAATATTCAACAAAGAGAATAAAAATAACGAGAAAATGCAGAAAAAATTACTGAACAGTAAAAATTCACTGAAAATGCAGTGAAGTTCATTTCTATAGAAAATATCTGAATAGAATGAGTTTTATAAATAAATCGAATGCTATTCATTTTTTCTACAAAATATTCTTCATTAGATAATTCCATTGAAAAAAACGCATAAATAAGCTGCAAAATTTTCCAATAGAAATTCAATAAATTTTTTCAACGAATTCGATGGGTTTTCCCACGCAATTTTTTTGCTCGTGATTTTTCTTTCCATAAAACAACATTGAATTTCCCACAAAAAAACTTTAACCCAAATTTTCGCTCCACCCGAAGTAATGAAACGAATAAAATAATCGTTCAGGGATTTATTAATGGATTAAACGAAGCCCCCCCTGCATAAATGCATCGTAATTTCACTAATGTCCCTATATTGTTCAGACCAACATTATTGATTTCCAAGCGTGACGGTTGAAAAGACAAAGGGTACGTGAATAAATATCACCATGTCCTTGAAACTGCAAATAAACCCATACGAGGACATGAGAGAAAAAAGAAATCGATTTTGACCGCAAAATTGTCTGATCATCTCGATGAAATCAAATCCCTCGTCCATCGCGAATAAACACTCAATAATCATCGATGACATCGATCCACTACGAATAACAACTAAATTTAAAACCATCATGAAGTTGCGAGCGATGTTTATCGATTTCATGAAGCCAACACACGTTTAATTTTGCTTGAAACGTTTCATGGAGAATTGTTTAGTGGAATTACTGAATCAGAGGCAATTCCTAATAAATTGTGGGGTATTCCAGCGAGACAAATATTTTCTAGTGTTAAGGAAGTGATTATTTCATTTTACTGTAGGCAGTGAATCACTTCTTTCCCAGAAATTACCTGAGAAATTAATTTTCTTTCAAATGGAAAAACATTTCAAACGTGTAATAAAATAAATCTTCATACATTATGGGATTATGACGTTTCAAATGACCGAAAAAAATTATGGAAACAATTGTTAATCGGTATTTAACTACTCGAAAACATGGCAATGGCTGACAATCATAATACAGAAGATTAATAGAGCGTTACTAATGATTTGATTTTCCTATTTTTAGAAATTCTAAATTATCTCGGAAATGGACTAGTCTAGGAGGAAATGTTGTAAGACCTATTCTGCAGCTTATGAAATTTACAATAAAAAATGTTTTATGACATTTTCCGTTAAAACCACTCGTTATGGAAATAATTAGCATGGAAGATCACTAATTATTATCTTCAACATTGCAATTAAATAAATTTCCATTCTTTTGTTAATTGTCTTCAGTCTCAAAGACGAGTAGCTTTAGCCGAAATTTCCTGCAAAAAATGTCTTTCCACATTTTCCCCTAAAACCTTTAATTACCGAGATAATTTACCCCCCAACAAAATCCAATAAATCGACATTTTCCGTTACGTTTTATCACTCCACTGAATTAAACCGCGAGACATGTTGACATCTGTTCACTATTAAACTTATAATTAGAAAACTCTGAGGCATCACTCCCTGCCAAAACCCACTGATGACAATTTCCGAAAAAGAAAATGACTGATAAGACTATTTTTATAAATTCTGAATTATCTCGGAAAAGCGTCAGTTCACCGGGAAATGTTATATGACATTTTCTGTCAAAAACCATTCGTTACGAAAATAATTAGCCACGGAAGTTCACTAATTAATGTCCCCATTAATTGTCTTTAATCTCAAAGAGAAGTAGCTTTATCAGAAAATGTAAATAGACTTTTTTATACCTCACAAAATTTCCTGCAAAAAATATCTCGTCCCATTTTCCCCAAAAACCTTTAATTACCGATATAATTTACCCCCCAACAAAGTCCAATAAATCGACATTTTCCGTTACGTTCTATCACTCCACTGAATTAAACCGCGAGACATGTTGACATCTGTTCACTATTAAACTTATAATTAGAAAACTCTGAGGCATCACTCCCTGCCAAAACCCACACATGACAGTTTCCGAAAAAGAAAATAAGACTGAGGGCTAAAAATTCATATGCCAACGCATTGAAACATTGAAACAACTGAAACAATTGAAATTTCATGAAAACTCAACATGCGAGGCTCCGCATGCAAGGCCCGCTGCCAAGAAGCGCAATGTAACAGCAATAAGTAACAAGTAGAAAATTACCTGTGGCACAGACAACATCGGCATCGTCCTCATCATCCTCCCGCCTCTCCGTCATTCTCACTCTGAGCTCAGTAACACGACTACGATTGTATCTCCCAGATTCTCTACCGATGACTCGCGGATGCACCGAGTTGCCGAGACGCGTGATTCTGTGCGCGCGTCTCTTCTGGTTATTAATGTTGCTGGTACCAATGCCACTGTTGTACGTACGACTGGATTTAACAGGTGATACATGACGTATTCTACTTGTTGTGATATCGTCAACCGACTCGCCGCCTCTGGGGGTGACTGTTTGGGTGGTTGAGGCGGTATCAAGCGGTGACGGGGGTGACGGAAATGCCGGCACGTCCATACCCGTAGGCGAACACTCAAAACCACTGCACTTTAGATTTTTTTACATGCTTATCGTCACTCCCGGAGAAGTCGTAAACAATCTCATTTCACACAGCTGTTCCTTGATTAAAACTGTGTCACTAATATTTTTCAATTGCTCGTTAGGCTATTGGTCTGTCGCTTGAGAAAATTCCGAAGGGAATAGTTTGTATCGGAGGATAGTCCGTGTTTTAGGGGAGAAACGTCTGGCGAATCAAATAAGATCTAATTTGTGGAATGAAATCGAATGAATTTTAATTGGTTTTGAAGTTCAGTTTTTCTTCAATATCTCAGAATCCAGTGGAGATGGCGAAATTTATGTGAGGACCTTTTTTATAGCCCCAATTGTGCTCTACAAAAAAGGTTCATATGAAAAAGGGCGTATCTCCGTCGCATTTGAAGATATTCGTTAAAAATTGAAGTAGAAATTGGATTGACGAAATTATCATTAATCGATTTTTTTGGATTTAATTTTTGGTCGTAACTCAGAATCTGATGGAGACAACGAAATTTGTGTCGGGACCTTTTTTGTAGGGCACTGTGAGAGCTACAAAAAAGGTTCTGATGAAAAAGTGCGCATCTCCCTTAGATTCGAAGATATTAATGAAAAGCTCAAATGTTTTTGAGTTAAATTGACTAATTTCGGTAGCAAGCTCTGACGATTGATCTCACAGCAATCCTCAGGGTTCAACCGAGGAGAGTAAACTAGCGTTTCGATGAGAAATGGGAAATAAAAAACATACACATCGTTTTTGCGCGCTCCGGCGAGAACGCCTGCGCCCCGATATGAAGAGGAATTTGCTTCCCCCGAGGGAATTCCGCGTCCATCAATCTCCAGGTAGTGGAATATTTCCAAACAATTGGATTAAGTGTTGGAAGTGGCTTTCAACTCTGATTAAAGTTTTTGGGGAATTGCAGTTTTCATGTTTGATCACTCGATGTTTATTATTAAGTCTAGGGAAAAGCGGCCAGATTTAATTGGCACTGATCGGGTCACGATGGGGAGCATGAGATTGGAAAGGAGATCGTGTCAGTGGGTAATTCTAATTCGTTATTTAGGGGAGGGTTACTTTCATCGAGGGGCTGATCTGCTTACTTCAGATGAATATTTGATTAATGTCGTGTGACAACGGGGTATCGATGTTTCCAGGCGTCAATGCATGAGTTTGTACACATTTTTATCGACTGAATTTTAGTAGAAGAGGGATTGATTTTCGGAAATATGAAATATCTTGAGATGTGAGCGAATTGTAGAAATTTTTGAAAATAATATTTTTATAGCTCTAAATCTCCTCTACAAATAAGGTTTCGGCAGAAATTTTGCTATTTTTCTTTGATTCGAAGATCTTTACGAGTGAATATTCATGAATGAAGCAAAATCATTTTTTTGCAGCATATCTTTTAGAATTTGTTAATGTAATTGCGTGACAAAATTTTTTAAAATATCATGAATATTCAGCGCCATTCAAATTACATTTTGTACAGAATTATAATTTTTTTAAACACTCGTTGTTTATAAATAAATAATTTAAAATTATTTTGAACAAATAATTTTTAAGGTAGAAAATTGATTGTTTATAAATTATTTATAGAAAATGCTCGTAATTTTAAAAATTGCAAGTTTTAAATTATTTCATCAATCTTCCTTTAAAAGTAAACTTTATAATTTTTTTCAAATTTTTGAAATGTTTTCTAACGGTTCAATATTAAGACAAAACAGCCAAAATACTTGGAGATCCTTAAATCCAAGAGAGATATAAAAATTCTCAACAATTTTTCAGTCGATATTCTTCCCTACAAAAAATGCCCTCAGAATAAAACACCCTCATGATAAAAATAAAATAAAATGGAATAAAACAGCCTCTCAAATACAAAAAAAAAATTCATGTAAAAATCATCATTAATCTGAGTCGTTACATCTCATTTCACCACTTCGCTGCAGATTCGTCAACTCCCCGATGACTTCCCCCCACTTATAGTCCAACGATCCAATAATTACAGAGCAACTCAAACATTATTGTTCAAATGTTTACACTCGTCATTCCCCAGGTACACAATCATTCTCCCAGTTTATCCCCTGCACTCGAGGAATGACGCACCCCGTGATTTTATGAATGAGTGAAGGAACTGTGGGTGATTCAGTCCACGTGGTGAGGAGAGCACTCTGGCATTTAATGCGTCACCAGTGGCAAAAACTCGGGAATTGCAAGGCTCCTCGGTGTTTTGCGCATCCAATGGTGGGGCTCTCACGTGTGAGCAATCACTGTTAAATCCGTTTAAATTAGAATTCACGGAGATTAGACTCATTTTTTCCGCAATTATTTCACTGAATTCATGTCTATTTCCAGGCATGGACATTTCTCAATACAGGATGGGGGCAAAATGGGCCTGATGTTGACGCTTTCAGTTCAATTACAACGATGAAAAGACGAGAATAAAAATATATCAAGTGAGCAATCACTGTTAAATCCGTTTAAATTAGAATTCAAGGAGATTAGACTCATTTTTTTCGCATTTATTTCATTGAATACATGTCTATTTCCAGACATGAATATTTATCACTACGTGATGTAGTGATGTAAAAATATATCAAAAATTGTTTTGAAATATGAAATAAAAAATGAAGTAAAAATATTTGTTCTCGCAATTTTGATAATCCACTAAAAAAAAATTAAAAGGGGAAGGAGGCGGAATGGTGCAATGTGAGTTGCAATGCAGATATAAAACTTTTCATCGGTGTATTATGATTCTGTCTATCAAATGGGTCGTTGCACCTATTTCTCTCACCCCCGGCGTGACAAGTTAAAAGGAATCGATTAGCGTCTAATTAATAGGGCTGCGGCTGTTTCAACGCCGACACCAGAGTGAACGGGAAAGGAGAAAGCTTAATTACCGACTTTAATGAACTTTTATTGATCTCCGATGAATATGGCAAGAAAGTAAACTTTTAGAAAAATAGTTGAGTTCAGTGGCTCTTATTTTCATCTCCTTCTCAATAATAATATTTTTCAATGAATACATTCATTAGAAAATCACATGAATAAATAAGCCATGAGGATTCGTACGTTGTAGTAGTTGAAAAGCCAAATTTTTTCTTCGAGAACAGCTTAAAATAGTATATTTCGTAACGAGTGCAAAAAAGTGTCCTCTAAAGATGGTTTTGAACCAGGGGAGACTCCTAGACCCCAATGTTCTATACATACTCTTAGACCCCATTGTCCTCCTAGACCATGCTGGCACAACTCTGCTTTTCAATTGAAAACAGACATCATCTTTAGAGACATTTGTCATGTTTAGAGGGGCTAGCACGCCATTTCTCGACTCGCTCTTTCATTTGAGCCCAAAAACACATTCATATCTTGTCTGACATCGCTGCTACAAACTCGGGCCTTCAACTCGGGCCTTCAATTGAAAGCCCGAGTACTAACTAGCAAATGTTTTTTTATTTGCTCGCGATTTTCTTCAAAACTACTTCAATGAGGAAAAAAATAATAATTTGGAATATCTATACATGAGGGGCTAATTGATCGGATCTAAAATATACTTGGTTGTCCTTAATAAAAAAAATATGCCGTGTTTAGTAATGAAGACTATTTATTCTTTCGCGAACCGTTTAAAAATGTTAATTACCCTTTTAATGACCCCGGAAGCCACTTATGCCCATCTCTTCACCTCCCACCCTTAGGTCATCTTGAAGAGCTGCTGCCCATCCCCAACAAAAATTAAATATTCTCCCCTCGAAGCGACTCGAGCCTGAGCCCCTGAGATCCCTCCACTCCGTAAAAATTCAATTGAAAATCAAGTGGCCGGAGGTGCTGAGGCTTGAAAGACTCGTCCCTGAGTGTTGCGCTGGCGTGGATCGATGGTACTCTCGGGGGGTTGAGCCATCGGTTCACCCAGTGAGTCTCGGATGGCATCGAGTCCCCGAAAAAATTCAAAAAAATTAACGAAACACCAGCGAGGGAATGCGCGGCCATTCGCGCCGACTTCTGTATCTGCTGTTCCTGGTGATATTTCTCCTCCTGGGCACGAGATTGTTGACGAGCAGGAGCCACCTGGCACCACCTGACATCGATTCGGTGGTCATTACGCATAGGAGAGGTGAGAGTGCCCGGACAGCGCCTGCGTATGCACCTGGGATGTACATGGCGGGTCGACGGCCCGCGAATTCAACTTTCTGTGGCTGGAACTATGGATTGCCGAGGAGTCTCAGGTATCCGGCGAGCAGAGTCACCCGGAGCCCTCAGGACAACGGCCGCGGACCCTATCGGGTACTTCCGTTCGCCATTCGAGGGGGCAGCGGTGCGAGGAATGAGAAACTCGTCAAATTGACGCTCTGCACTCATGCCACCGCCGATCAAGTCTATAATGTTGTGGAGATCGTCAGGAGGTGGGAAGGACACGTCAGTCTCACTATTTTTGCTCCTGGACTCGATGCTGGACTCGCCGTCGATCTCATCGAACGCGCCTGTCTGTGCGAACCCGAAATGTTCAAGGTTTTCCAAGTTTATTCAGTTGTGGCTATTTTACTCGTCCTGGTAACTTGGGTTACGATTTTTTTTAGTCACGAAGAGAAAATGTTTTGATTTTCGGGAATTTGTCATCTATTGTTTACGATTTTTGTCACTGGCGTTTGGAGATTGATTCTTGAAAATTGGAGATGTGCCTAAGAATGAGTTTTGATTCATGAAAATTAAAATTCTTTTTTTTTTCGGTGTTGCTGGATAGGAAATTTAATGGAAAATTGTCGACATGTAGTTTTTTATTTCGATTAATAATGAAAAATTAACAAGTCATGGACATTGTGACGTCGGAATGCATAAATGGGTCTAATGTTCTGTAGTTTGTTGATTTTTCAAGATTGTTCGAAATAAAAAAATTGTGTCTTATGTTTTCAATCAATTTTCACATATTATCATTCCATCAAGATTCCATTAAGATTTCATTTTAGCCTCATTTGACCCTAAGCTTCTGGACATTTTAGAATGATTTTATTATTTAAACTTTGCAAGTCTGAATTTGAATCTCAACATTGAACCATTAGAAAACATTTTAAAAATCTGAAAAATATATTGGAAAGTTTACTGTCGGATGAAGACTGATGAAATAATTTAAAAATTGCAAATTTTCAACATAACGAGCATTTTCTACAAATAATTTACAAACAATCAATTTTCCACTGTAAAAATAATTTGTTCGTAACCAGCAAATGTTTAAAAAATAATAGTTCTGTTCAAACGTAATTTGAATAACGCTGAATATTAATAGTTTTTGATGGCTGAAAATGGTCGAATTGATAGTGTGGTACCAAACTGTAAATAAAAGATACTTGTAAACCCTCAAATGAGAAAAATAACGGAACAATTGATTCGTTCTGATCTGAATTATTCAATTTGTTTTATTCCCCTGTTGATGTCAGGTATCCGTCCACCTGATATTCCCAGCAGGTCGTCCCCCCGCCTTGTCTCACGTCTACCGTCCAGAGGGTGACTGCGCAGCGTCGGACCTCCAGTGGAGGGACTCCGACACCGAGCGGAAGCAGCGAGGAATGATCTACCCCATAAACATGGCCCGCAACGTCGCGAGGAGTCTGGCCCCGTCCTCGCGTGTGCTGGTATCAGACATCGAATTGCTCCCGAGTGATAAATTGGCGTCAGGCTTCCTCGAGATGATCCACGGTAGGCCCCCTCGATCCGCCCTGATCTTCGTCGTCCCCGTCTTCGAGATCGAGGAGAACGAGCGCCCACCGAGGACCAAACGGGAGTTGATGGACGCTGTGAGGAGCGGTGTTGCCGTTTATTTTCATAAATACGTTTGCGTCCATTGCCAGAAGTTCCCGGGGATCACCAAGTGGATGCTGAGGCCGGACCCCGGAAGGGTGAAACCGTTGGTTGTGACAAAGAGGGAGTATCCGCATCACAGGTGGGAGCCTGTGTTCATCGGGACTCGGGAGGATCCGCTTTATAATGAGGAGATGTCTTGGGAGGGGAGGCAGGACAAAATGGTCCAGGTGAGATAATTATGTGATTTTCATAGTGATGATGATGATAATTATGAAACAATAGAGTTCGGAAACACAACAGAATGAGGGAATTTTCCATTTTGTTCAATTAACAATTGATTTTTATTCCGAGAAATTTATTCTTAGCGTGACATTGAGTTCGATTTAAATGGAAAATTAATTAAATTTCAGATTTCAGTAAAAATTCAATGAAATTCCAAGTTTTTGAGCAACAGGAAGACGAAATCTCTGTAATTTACTTGAATTTTCAATCGAACCATGAATATCTAATGCCGGATTATACTGAATTTTCAATTACTATAAAATTGAGAAAAATATTGACCTCAATTTTTCCGATTTCCACAAATTTCATGGAATAATGAAACCAAAATTTTCATTCCCAGCTTTAAAAAACCTATAAACCCCTGATGAAAAAATCTAACAATTCTCTGGATGTCTCTGGAAATTACTTTCAGATGTTGGAAATGTGCCTGATGAATTATCGTTTAATAATCCTGGACGGTGCTTTTCTGATCCACACACCAGGAATAAAACGCAAGCCATCAAAACCACTGAACAAAGAGAAACCGCGAACCTTCGAACGTGCTCAGGAAAAACGTAACGCTCGAATATACCAGAGCATAACCCGTGAATTGCTCAAGCAGTACCCTGCTAACCAAAGATGCAGACAATAGAGGAAATGTTCCTACCTACTAAAGTGAAAAAGATAAGATAATAATTAAACTGTTGTGCATATTTTTTGAGAGTCGAAACGAGAGATATTTGAGCCTCATAGAACATATATTTTTCGCTTCTTTGATTTTAGAAGAGAATAAACGACGAGTCGCTCCTATTCCGTCAATACTTTCACGCGAATAAATGTCTTCAATTATGCCTTCATTGCAACTACGCACAGGGACTATTGTCCCGCTAGAATAAAAAGAGAAAAGATATTATACAGAGCTTCAGGAATTGTTGAAAGGTCAAGTGAACAGTGCAATTACGCTACGACGTTTTGTTTATTCCTTTTTTTTTCATTGATTTTTCGTATAATAATAATATAATAAAAAATAATATTAATAGATTAATAGCGAATAATGTAAAATAACAAATCTTTTTTTCTTGTTTTTTTCTTTCTCGCCTTAAAAAAAAAATGGCTACTGCCGCATGCAGCCTCCTCCCTGCCAGGGCTCCACCCTCATTGGCATAACTATTTCATCTTATGTTTACCCTCTCACTCATATTCATTAAAAAAATTCATTTGTTTTGTTCGTTAAAAAAAAAAATCTGCTCAATTCAAATTTTTTTTCTCTTCTCGTACAAAAATTGAGTTGTTCCCATTTTGAAGAATTCGTGACGATCACACAGTTAATTCGTTGATACTAATTACAGAAAGAGTCAACACATGAGTTCAAGTTAATTATTGTTTCCACTGAAATTAAAGAGATCATTGTCTTTATTCAAAAACCTAAAATTCTGGAAATTGTTTGAATACTTTTTTTTCATGAGTCTTTTGTTGCATTGAGTCATTATAACACGATAAAAATGTGAGAAAACATGTCGGTTACTGTTTTTTTACTGTTTGAGAAAACATAAAGGCACACCTAAACTAATAACTCTGTCCCTTTTGCCAATGACTCACTATTTACACGAGAGTTTTAATCCTTTTTCAACCAGGAATTTAATAAAAAGAAAAAACACGTTGCAACGATTACAGTAGAAAGATGAAATAATAATAATAATATTAATAATAATAATCGAAGACGATTAAAACTGCTACAAAAATAATTTAATCTTATAAAACGTTTCTATAGTGTTTTTTTTTGGATGTTATTTTATCGAATTCTCAGTGGTTCTGGGTTAAATAATTTAACGTACGCAGAGCAGATATTCACTGATATCTGATGGGGAAAATAAATTGATAATTCAGCATGCTCATGTTGATTGGAATAAAAAATAATAATACGATGATTGGAAGAAGTGCAACGAAACTCCATTCATTGACAAATTACCTGATAATTTCGAAATAAATCGATCAATTGAGTTTTTTTCCCATTCGAGAGGGATAATCTATTCAAAGTAATGTAGCAATAAAATAAAAATGTCCAATTTTCAATTCAGATCTGTGAAATTCTGACGCATTTGATAATATAAAATTAATTCCATTGAACAAATAAAAATGAAATGTTGGGGGGAAAATACTATAACTAGAATTTAAAAAAAACGATGATTCTCAACATGCATTATCTGAATAACTAATCAGCTCTACTCTGCGTACAATGGACAATTCTCAATAATTTTGTTATTCGTTTTAGGGTTTTTCTCTCAGTATTCTCACGACCTTTACTGAAATTTTAAATGGAATCTCTTACTATTCTAGAGTTAATATGATATCACATTATCAAGGCACCTCCAGGCACCCCCCACCCTCCCCCCTCAAAGATTTTAAAAGTTATAAAAAAAACCTGTCCTGCTCATCGTTGGATGGAGATTCTTAAAAATTCGTTGTACTACTGCTACGATTGATTTTTTTACCTATAGCTCTGGATGATGTTCTATTTGGTGTTGGCCTCAGCCTGTAACCACTTGAGCTCAACGAATTATTAATGGCAGTCACGTTTGGAGCAATTGTGTTGAGACACTTGGCAGCCTCTTGAAGTTGTTTCAACAGAATTTCATTCTTTTGTTTTTCTTCATTGAGTTCACGTCGTAATTGGGCTTTTGTTTTATTGCCAAATGGACAGAGTACCCTGTGCTGGATGAGGGACACTGCTGAGGGCCTTGTTTCAGGATTTGGATGAGTCATAAGCTGTTGATAAGAAATTTCAATGGGTTAAATTGATGAAATTTTTTATTTTAATGGAGCTTTTTGGAATTAAAGGAGTGGGGGAATTTCACCCACGAATTCTCGAAGTACAGTCATTTTTTTCAGATTTCAATTTTGAAATTGAAAACAAAATTGTTCCTTACTCTAAACTTTTGAAAAAATTGAAATTTCATGGACAATTGACTATTAATTTTCAGAAAAGAAAGAGTAATTTAGGGAGAAAAAAATATGAAATTTCAGATTTCACTATAAAAAATAAAAAAATAAACATTTTTGAGCAGCAGGAAGGGCAGAATTCTCCAATTTCCTTGAACTTTCAATCAAAACATGAATATTCCTAAATTACACAGAATTTTCACTTAATTGAAAATTCAAGAATATATACCAGAATTTTTTTTCATCGAATAAGTCAACTAAAATTCACATATTTCGTTGATTTATTCATAAAACTTCCCAATGACGAAATCCCTCGAAATTTCAGTGGAACTATAGATGAAAAATTCCAAAATATCCATCAAAAATCAATATAACAATTCATCTCCAAAATTGAAACCGAAAAAAAATTGAAGAATGGCATAATTACCTTAAGAAGTTCATTAAGATCTCTACTGTACTGCGGTAACTCCTTAAGATTGCCCTGCCTGATAGAATGCCACTCAGGTCCATTTTTGGGTAGCGGGCCACCCCCTGCTGCCTCATAAACCGTAAGCCCAAGAGCGAAAATATCGGCTTTGGTCAAATGCGATACGTCCTCATGTAATATCTCAGTTGTTAAATATCTGCAGTCACCCTCCTCGACAGTGGGATTGCTGATGGACGTAACATGACCAAGATCACCAATTTTGTACGTAATCTCCTCCTCGAGAGTCTCCTCCTCATCAAATCCATCATCAGCAGAGTCGTAGTTCACAGCTAGCAAGCGTTTCTCCTTGGATATGAATATGTTGCCAGGTTTGATGTCCATGTGAACCAACTGCATGCTGTGAATGTACCTGAGGCCCTCGGCCACGTGTAGAAGCAACTGGTGCAATTCAGCCTCGGTAAAGGGACGATTTTCATTCTGACGTTTGACAATATCATCAGCCAAACTGCCACCGTTGCAAAATTCATTCTGAATAATCATGTGATTGTCCTCGGCCCATGCTGAGTAGTAACGCACCACGTGCTGGTGTTTACCGAGGACAGCGTGTGCATAAACCTCGTTCAGTGCATTTTTCTCATTGACACTACCTGCCACTGGCTTGAGGCTCTTCTTTATCGCGTATGTACAGCCATCGAGACGATTTATACACTTGTAGACCGAACCAAATTCACCGGCACCGATCAACTTCAATTCGTGGAATTCCTGTTTGTAACGGGGAATGTTGGATTCGTTCAGGGCAACGCGTTTCGTTGGCTGCTCTATCTCTGTGTCTGACTCATCTGTGTCGGGGAGGTCGAACTTTGGTATTCTTATGTCTGGTGAACTGGAAGATTTTTAGAGATTTGTGAAGGGATTTCCATGTTTTCTATGATATTTTTTCAATAATAATTGAATGGTGATTGGGATTACTGAAGTTATGAAAGGGACGAAAATGAAATGGTTACAAGACTATGGTCAATGAATTTTTTTTTGAGAAAAATAAAGAGATGGAAAATGATTAAATTGGATGGGAAATATAATGGAGACGTTTCCGATAGTTCATAGCTTGTTAATGTTTATTTTTAGAAATAAAAACTAAGTGACTAGTGTTTTCTATTCATTGTTCATATCCTGTAATACCAAAATTTGATGTAAAACTAATTGTTTACTTATCTGGAAAAGAAAATTTTTTCTGTAGCTCATGAAATTTCCCACAAAGTGTCTTCAAATATTTCTTCTTAAGACGATCCATCAAATAATTGCAATTGAAGTAATTGCATGTTCAATAAAATGCAGAAAATAAATCTACCTAGTGGTAAATTGTCGATAATTCTGCATTTACCTCAAGAATGAGATAAAATTGTCAACAAATTTTTCTTGGAGATGAAATTACATCCAACAAACGTCTCTCCACATTTCAAAATCGTAATTAAAGCGACAATTAAATCTCAAGTATTCAAAAATTCCTCATTAACAAGATGATTAATCTATTCTACTGTGTTCTGCCCCTCTCCCCATCAAAATTTCCCTCATTTCATTAAAAAAATCGCAATTCAATAAACGAATTAATCCGAAATTCGCCATTCCCCAAAGACTAACTCACCCATTGAGACTACGTTTTGATCTACTCCTCTTCCTAGCTGTAAGTAGCATCCCATTAGGTGTAAAAGGGTTGACATTAGCCGCTGGTTTATCACTCTTGGACTGATAGCTCGAGGCCACTGGTCTCGGTTTATCACCAGGAAATAGTCTGTTGCATCTCGATGGCACTGGTGTGTGCATGGCACTTTTTTCAATCAATGTTTTTGGTGTTGCTGGAGAATCAAAGAGTCGGAGGGCCCGAACCCTCTTGTAAGGTGGACTGCAGGCCATTGCCAGTCTCGACTGAGGTCCACTGTCACGATGGGAATTTCTGCCACCAATCGCCCCTACAACGACAATTCCAGGTCATTCAACCACCCCATCATCCCCCCGACAAACCTCACACCGAAAATTTCACTTTGAAAAAAATTCATTTATTCTTTATTCAAACGAAATTGATGTTGAAAATTGTCATTAAAACCTCTCAACTTTCTCTCGTCAATTTCGTTTGACTTGACTTTAATAAACATTGAGAGTCATGAAACCTCGGAAAAATCACGGCAAATGGAGAATGATTTCATGAATTTCCCGAGGCGTTCGTCAATTTCCCAGGGATCCACAAACTCACGCGAACGATAGTGCTCCCAGACTAACAGTACCGAGAATAAGGCGTCAAGCAGTGTCACAAAGTCACAATACCACCCCTGCCATCAGCCCACTCAATTATCCAAATCGGCTCAAGCGACCCCCTCAAAACAGGTATAAACCACCAATGCCTCCAAAATCCAATTTTGCATCAATAGTCTCAACACGCCTCAACCCCCACTGGCACCTCGCCCAAATTTCCCAAATAATATTTCACACAAGAACTTACGTTGTGAATGCAGTCGTCAAATCCAGTCTATTAAATCCCAATTTTGCACTCCCATTAACCAAGTATTATCTGACTAAACAAATTCTCCATTCAAATACAAAAAAAACAATTAAAAAATCACAAGAATTCACATAACAAAGCCGCAAAAATCCCCGAAAAAAAGTACTTCCAAAAAATGTCTCTAAAAAAATTTAAATAAATAAACAAAAGAAATCCAAACGTGGAACAAACGAAAGTGAGTGGTGAAATCACAGGTAAAAACGGCATCACACAAAGACCAAAATTCCCGTGTGTGGCGTCCATGTACCCCCCCTCCCCCAAAGAAACGCAACGACAGAAAAAAAAAAACGAGAAATGCTCGCAAAACTAACCTGTCACGACGATAGCTGGTGTTTTGTCATGAATCGGCGAATTATCACTATCACTGCAGTCCATTGAACTAAACAATTGTCTGGGTTGTGGTGAGGGTGTAAAGTCCTCAGATGAATCTAACGCATCATCAACATCGCATCCCGAACTGTTAGTACGACAGCTGATGTTGAGCTCCTCGTCCTCAATATCGTAAGCGTCGAAATTTAATTTCTGGGCAACATCCATATTCATAGTTCAGGGTGCAATAAACTGTTTATCGATTGAACATTTACATCACTTCATCGGCGAAACACTGATGAACACTTGTGTAGATCCAGTAGCACTAATTAGGAATGGATATTTAGCACAATTATTATGAAGAAAAACGGCCCACGTTCATTCAAACACACTCTGTACACCACGCTACGTTCGTTATGGCGGGTGGCCCTGTGGTCCTTTCGGGGGGGACTCGTACAGCGACCAATAACACTCCAGCTTACTCGGTCACTCTCTTCCGAGCTCTGAGAGACGCACTCCCATTGGCTTAAACCCGGGGAACAATGTGCTGTATTTAGTGGCGTCATCTGCAGCTCGCCGGGGCTCAGGGAGGGGGAAAACCCATGATTTCAAGCGTTTTAACACGGCGTCCTCGCTTTATTTTTTTTAGTGGGACCTTTCGGGGTTTTCTTGGAGCCCATTACTGTTAAGTTCTTGGAGGGGAAGGGGGAGATGATACCAGCGGGTGGAGATTGCTGGGGTTGAGAGGGGTTTTCGGAATTCGGAGTTTAAGAGGTTTTTCTTTGTTTCGAAGGTTCTAAAATTATTTTTGGTGGAATGGAATAACAAATATTTGGCTGAGCCGATTGGGTGGGGAGGGATTTGGTTGTTCAAGACTTAAACTTCTAGTTATTTGTTTATATATTTTTCTGCAGGGAGCCAATGATTTTACAATGGTTTTATTATTTAAACTTTGAAGTCTAAATTTTAATCTCGACAGTGAACCGTTAGGAAACATTTTAAAATTATAAAAAAATTGGAATGTTTAGTTTTGGAGGAAGATTGATGAAACAATTAAAAAATTGCAATTGTTTAAAATTACCAGGATTTTCTGTAAAGGATTTTTAAACAATGAATTGTCAACCATAAAATCAGTTCGGAATCGTAAAGATTTTCGAAAGTTTAAACGATTTCAATAATTTATTTATAAACTATGAATGTTTAAAAAAATGATGATTCTGTGCAAAATGTAAGTTGAATGACGCTGAATATTCATGATTTTCTTTCAAATTTTTGTCGCGCAATTTAATTGACAAATTTGATGATTGAAAATGGTTGAATCCATAGTGTGATCTGCACCAAATAGTGAAAGATATTTGGACGTAAAGTACGGTTGTTAAACTTATTTTTATCATCTTTCAAAAATTTTAATAAAATAATTTCAAATGAAAAAAAATTAATAAATAAATAAAATCAATCAAAAGTAAATAATATGATTTTTAAACCTATTTGGGGTGGAATTAATGTTTTGCTGTTTGATTGGGTCGATTATGTGGGGAGAAATGTGGTTGTCAATATCTGTTGTGACGGATGTTTGAGAATTTTTAATTGAGACATTGGGGTTTTGAGGAGTTCAATGGGGTTTTCGAAGTGTTTGAATAGTCTCTCATATTGAGGTCGTTTTGAAGTACGAAATGAGGTGATTCTTGATTTCCAAAACTTACGCATGAGAACAAATATTTTAAAATTTCGCCCTTCACTCCGAAATGTTCGAAATAAAAACATTACAAAATGAATCTTAGTAATCACCGTTATTATGTCTGCGAAAAATGAAAATATTGTGGCCCCCAGGAGCACATATTTCCGACAGAAATGGAAAATAATATTTTCATCGGATAAAAAAAAATGCGGGGTAAAATGAAGCAATAGAATCTTAAAAAATTAATGTTTCCATCCTCCGAAAAAATAAAAATAAATTGATTCGTTGAGTAATTAGTTATTATTGCGGACCACGTGCTCACGGCGTATTTCTTCGTCAGCGAAAAAAAAGAATAATATTATGGGCCTAGGACCATGTTTTTTTCTCGGACAGAAATGAAAATCTGTTTTTAATTCAATTAATGTCCCAGAAAAAAATTCCAGAAAAATTGCAATACAATTCTCATAATCGTAATCGTTCGATTCGATAATCATAATCAAAGAATAAAAACGATGTTAAACATCATTAAATTCTACACAATAAAATCGATGAATAATCCCTCAGAATCGTCATCAATGCAATTAATTCACTGAAACAAATCGTATAATAAAATACGAAAATAATAAAACACCAATTAAAAACAATTTTGATAATCTTGAGAATCATTTCAAATTCAATCAAAGCTCCGGAAAAATTCCAATATAATTCTCTCAATCCCAAAAATAAAAACGATGCGAGACATAAAATTCTAAACAATAAAATCGATTAATAATCTATGAAAATCATCATCAATTCCATTAATGCTCCGCAAAAAAAATCGTGTAACAATGAAACCCCAAAAAAAATTCACCCTGAGAATTGTTTCTAATTCAATTAAAGGGCCATAAAAATTCTAATACGACTCTCATAATCAAAAAAAGTAAAAATGATGAAAGACATCATAAAATTCTATCCAACAAATTTAGAAGGTCCTGTTTGCGTCGGGGGGTTTTATCCAGAGTGCAGCGCAATAAAAGGAATTTTTGTTGGGGCAGCTGCAACCTGTGGCGTGTGCAAAGGGGCCCGATGGGCTTAGCGGGGCCAGGGGGAGGGGCAGCCCAAGAAAAATAGAGAAGAGACGATTGTGCATTGGGCCGGTGAGAGGGGGAAGGCTAAACCGTAGTAAAAGCGTAGTAGCGAAAAGGGGGTGGGGATGGGCGGGGGGCGCTGCTGACCACTCAACTGGTTTCTGTTTGGAAAGAGACGAAAGAGTGGGGAAATCCGATACATATAAATACAATAGCTGAGGAATAAGAGAAAAATAATAAGAGACAGAGTGAATTGTTTTGGGTGATTTTTTTTTCTTCTGCTCCGACTTCAGTCAAAGGATTTTTTTTTTCAATTTGCTGAGATGCAGGGGGATGTCGGAATTACTATTACTGGTGACATTGAGACACCGCTGAGTCAGAAGGAGACTGCAGCGAATGGGTAAAATTCCACGTTGCATTTGATATCTGAGTAAAGCATATGGCTGCATTTGACAACCTAACCTCTGCTCAGGGGATATCTGGGTTTATTTGGGTTGTTTTTTCGAGGCTGATGACGGCAGGTGGCCGACAAGATTCGAGATTATGAGGATGGTTGTTTCTGCGGGATGCAATCTACAATTTTGAGGGATTTTTTTTTAAAGTTTGAGTTAAAAGGGTGCAATAAAATGGGATAAGATTTTTTCCTGGAGAAATTTTCATGATGCATTCTTTCAGGTCTTCAACTACTTTATTTGAGAGAAATCGCGATGAGAATTTTGATATTTTCATTGAATTCACAGATATTCATGAAAAGTCCTTTCTAATTAATTGTCTTCATTTCTTCTTTCATATTGAATTATTTCTCAAGCTTCTTTTTCTATTTTCTATCTTATTTATCTACTTCAGATCTTCGATTTCAAAATTTTATGGATTAGTTAATTTTAAAGAAATATTTATAATTACAAATAAATTTTCATGAGAATTTTCCTATCTCCATTGGATTCAGAGATATTCATAAAAAATGAACTCAATTTCACTGAGATATCTTAATTTCTTTAATCTTTAATTCTTCTATCATTCAATTCCCTCAAGTTCCTTTTATAATTCTGTATTTTATCTTTGTCAGTCATTTTTTTATCGTCATATTCCATAAAATATTTTTTTCAAGTGGAATTAGCTTTTAAAGTTGAGTAAATATTATTGTCATGTTTTCATTCTTTTATTCTTCTTATTTTGATCTAGTCTGGACTTTCTTCAAATCCCTCAACTGCCATTCACCCAGCTGGGCTATCCCCAGGCCCACGATTGGATCCAGCACAGAAAAGCAACACTGAGACCATGGAGTTTATTTCTAAACACCAACAATTTTCGTGCACCACCTGGTGTAACTAGACTTAGCAAACGTATCGTCAAGAATATCGAGTACTTTCAGAGTAACTATTTATTTGTGTTCATTGGGCTCGTTATTTATTGCTTGTAAGTATCCCAATTTTTCCCCAAACCCAAACATTTTCCCATCTTTTATCAATTACCATAAAAAATAATTAAGAAACAGTAAAAATAAAAAAAAAAAAAAATCCCAGATTTAAAGAATTATATTGTAATATTTTTTAAGTGATGATTCTTGTGTTTTCTAGAATTACATCGCCCCTATTATTACTAGTAGTCGCTGCGTCACTGGGTGCATGCTACAAAGTATCCCAAAGACATGCCAAGCAGGAGTTGACGATATTAAATCACAGGTTGACCCTAGCACAGGTTTACTTGGTCGTGGGAGCATGTTCACTGCCACTATTTTATCTCGTTGGAGCTGGAGCTATTCTTTTCTGGGTTTTAAGTAAGAAAAATCTATTTTTCAAATGAATTTACCAGTCCGAGAATATCTAACCCACGAAGAATGTTCCAAAACAGTCTCTGAGGCTGATTAATCAATCAAAAAAATTACCATTCCAAAATTAATAATCGATTATGAGTGACGACAATAATTACTCAGAATTATTATTTAAAAATGATTAATTATAGGTGTATCCTGGTCTTTGGTGCTCATCCATGCTGCATTCTACAACATAGATTCAGTTTTATGTCCTGGAGAGGATGAGCTCAACTCTCTAGTGATGCAAGAAGTCTAATTAAACCAAAAATTAAGATGAAATCGGTGAATTCAGTTGTGAAGTGGTAGAGCACTTTACTATTGAATTCATTGGCACTTCCATTTAATTACGATTATTTAGTGCCTATTTAAATTTTTCTATTAACCAAAATTATTCTGATTATCAGAGTCATAGGCAAATGTATCTATTATTAAATTAAACGATACTGAATTTTAAGGAGTTGTTGTTTTTAATGAACCTGTTGGCTATTTTATTTGAGGAAAATCTGTGACGAATAAGATTTGGAATGTTTATTCATTAACTGAATGAAGAAAAAAATTAAAATCAATGAATTGCGTAGTGAATTGGTAAAATGATAAAATTCATAATTTCGCCACTGAATTAATTAACCATTGCAGTTAATTACGCATATTTGGTGCCTACAATAATTTTATCATCAACCAAAATATTCTTAGCTATTAAAATTCGTACAAAACTGACAATTCAATGAAAAAGCAAATCAGGAATTGTCGTTTGAAATGAAATTATTGGCGATTTCATGTCGAGAGAATGTAAAGAGTGATTTAAAATTTCCCCAGGATTTTAAACGTATTTGAATTCAGAGTTCACGATGATGCCAGTGAGGACCAGGTGTTGCTGTCTGTAGAATGAATCTGCCGACCCCCCGTTCCAAGCAAAAATTAAAAGGGCCCATAGGTCCCTGCGCGAGTGGATAGGGCCTCAGCTCGCCAACGCCGCACACCTGCCGCCACCCAAACCCACCCCATCTTCCTTTTTACCTTTTTTTTTCAGCTTTTTGCCCTCTGCTCGATCCAAAACACGGACTGAGGCCTTTTAAACCGAACATTCGTCTCTATTTTTGGCCAAAACGTTCCGTTGAGTCTTCATCTGCCCCTCGATTAGTAAAAATAGCGCATTAAATACAAATGGATACTTAATTCGATAATTTCGTTTCATTGGTTTTTATGGTTAATCAAATTTATTTCTTTAGTTCATGTAGATGTACAAAAATTGGAAACTCATGAATATTATTTGCAAAATGAAATAAAATGTTGAGAAAACGTGAAAAATTCCCTTTTGAATTTTATTTACATTATGAAATGTAGAAATATCTCAATAACGAGTGATCCTGTGCAAAATATCATGTGAACTTTTCCCTTCTGAATTTTAGTGACTATAAAAAATTTCTTTTGACATTTCATCGTAAACTCATTCGTTATCAGAATAATTTGAAAATGAACAAAACCGTTATTTTTAATGATCATTTGCTAGACAGTAAACACGAGATCTTCTGAAATTTTTACTTATTTTTTTTTTCATTTGTGAAATTCGTTTTGAAAAGTAAAGGATACGTTAGTTCAATGGATTGGGTATTGAATCATTAAATGCCTCCAGGCAATTTAAATTTCGCCGCTCAAACAACCAAAATAGGTCTCATCGATTTTTTTTTATTTTCGCACGCCAGTCAGTAATATATCCACTCACCACGCGGTTTTACATCGTCGTGGTCCATTTAACCAATAGAATGTGAGACTCAGTACCGAGAATAATAAGAAAAATCTAAAAAAGTATATTTTCAAACTGACACTGGGAAATAAAATTTCTCAGTTCACCAAGTGACCTCAGTTTTTTCTTCAAGTTGTTAGCGGTACACATGAGCGGGATGTGGTGGGTGGCAGCTGCGGTGAAACTCATTTCTCGATAGTGAATTATCTGCTCGGTCCTCTACTCCCTCGCTAATTTGAAGAGTACGTGAAAAATTATTTACAATCTATTTCCAATGAAATCTCTCAGCGAAATGTGTCAGGGAAATTCTGAGTGTTCGAATATTTTTAGTTTTGTATGTAATCCAGGGAAGTAGTCAGTTATTTTATTACCCAGATCAAAAAATTAATTCTGATGTCTGTTTGTTTAGATGTTCCAGATATTTTTATGCATTTTTAATTGGTTTTATTACTGAATTCATGAATAAAAATGTTGAAAATTCGATATTTAGAAAAAAATTAAAACTGACTTTTAAGATTTTCAAATAGAAAATTTTTATCAAGAGTATTTTCTTTAAAAAAATTCCCCCAGATGTCACGATATTAAAAAAAATTGATATCAAAATTAATTAGAACAAAATAGAGTTCTTGAGGTTGATTTTTTTCTAATATCTCTGAATCTAAAGCAGATTGCTAAATATTCATAATAACTATCTTCATAGCTCTCAGTTTTCTCCATAAAAATGATATTGACATAAATTCTTCCACCTGCTTTACGACCCAAGATATTAATAAAAAAAATCCACAATTTTGAATTGAACACAAAATAAAATAAAAATAGAAAGAAATAAAAATTTAAAAAAATTAAAAACGTGAAATAAAAATGCATTCTCTAGAATAGGAATGACTTGAATGTCTAGAAATATCCGTAGATAAACCATTTCCTCCGAAAAAATTCGAAAAATGTTCTCAAACCTCCGATTCACCCAGGTATTCCTCAAATTAAAAAATGGAAGACGAAGAAGACGATATTAAATTCCTCGAGCGTCGTCGGAGGAGTACATCCCAACCGAGTATTTATCGCTCAACCCAGAGTAATCTCAACAGTGGATCACAGCAGACCCTCTACCACAGTGTCCGCAACACAATGTACGAGGATGCGATTAGCATGGAGACCCTCAACGCAGACGAGGAGGACGAGACGTCGACGCTGAGGGGCACGGAGGAGACCCTCATCGAGGGAAGTTGTGGAGATGTAAGGGGGTCCGGGATTAACGGAGGGATACACTCGGTAGATTTTGCACACCTGAAATCTCACGCTCTTAGAGCATTTTGAATTGAAATGAAATTTTCGATTTTTCAGCTTGCGCATTCAGAGAGTGGGAGCCTATACTTTAAGGATGGAATTCGTTCGATAGATTTCGTTATCGTCTGGGATGAGCATGACGGACAGGCCTCGGCATTTCGCAGCAGCGAGTATCGCAAGGTGCTGATAACAGTTCCGAATTAATTAGAATAAATTAACAGAAAGCGATTTTGATAAAAGTGATTTTTATTCACTTTTTCGAATGAGTTTTCCGGGAATATCTCGAAAGCCATGGGAGATACGACCATTTGTGTAGAAACCTTTTTTGTAGAGGAAAGTCAGACCTATAAAAAGTTTCAGACAAAAAAAGTCGTATCTCCATTGGATTCGCGGATATCTTCAAAAAAGTAAAATGCAATTTCAGATATTTGAAAGGAATCTCGAACTCGAGGGTCTCCACCTGGAGCACGAGTCCCCGGAGCCCAGTGGGTTGCGCTTCACAAAAATCCATGCACCCCGCGAGGTTCTACGTCGTTACGCAGAAATTCTGAAGCTCCGTCTCCCCATGAAAGAGCTTCCAATGCCAACCTCAACCACCCAACGTCCCAACACCCTAATGCGAGAAGTAAATAGTTGCATTCAGATATTCTTCTCACGTTTCTACGTAGACCAAACAATTTTTCCGACCATGAAGCATCGATTCACAGCTGTTTACAGCCGTGACAAGGAGTACTTGTTCGATCTCGATGCACCAGAATTTTTCTCACCAGCTACACACTCGAGGATTGTCCAATTTATCTTGGATAGAACGAGATTTTCGGATGTTAAAGGCGAGGATTTTGCGTTTGGAATTGATAGATTGATTTCTGAGCATGCTTATGTGGCAGCTTACCCACTGCATGATGTGAGTACAATTATTTCAATTGATAATTACACTCTTTGTTTTTATTTCAAGTAAGAAAACTTTTTACGGGTTTTGAATGTTGATAACTCGAAATTGGCAGTATTTTCTTGGGCTTTGGAATGAGCCTTGACTTATTGTTATTTTATTATTATATTATGTTATTACAAAAGTAGCCTGAACTCTGGTTCCGAACAAATACACAATAAATAGGTGAACAAATATTCAAGGATATCCAGGTACTCTGACTATTTTTTCTCCAGTGAAATGATTTTCTACTTTTGTAGTAGAACATCAGAGTTTTTTTTTCATTTGGGCCCCATTTAACTCTAAATTTCCGGACATTTTTAAATAATTTTATTATTCAAACTTTGCAGATCTGAGTTTGAATCTTGATTTTGAACCCTTAGAAAACATTTTGAAAAAAAATAGAAAGTTTACTTTGGGAGGAAGATTGATGAAATAATTTAAAAAGTCCAAAATTTGAAAATTATGAAAATTTTCTATTAATAATTTGTGAAAATCATTTGTTCGGAAAAAAATTATTCATCTCCACAATTTTGCCAGAAATCGATTTCATGTTCTAGGAATGAGGTTTAAAATTCCAAAAGTTTAAATAATTTTCATAATTTATTCATAAACAAGAAATGTAAAAAAAATAATTCTGTGCAAAATCTAATTTAAATGAAGTTGAATATTTTAATTAACAAATTTGATGATTGAAAATGACTGAATCTATAGTGTGGCGTGTACCAAACTGTAAAATATACCTGTATATCCCTAAATACCTAAAACAAACATTAACCATCCCTCGACATATTCCGGGAACTTTAAATCCCCTCGATTAGGACATTTAAACATCTCAACACGCTTTCTCCGAAAATCGTCATGGCAAGGGGGCACTTTACGATGCCCCCCGGAGTCGAGCAGATTCCCTTTAAATCCCGTCCCGCGCCCCTTCGCTCGCAATTGACCACTAGGCAAATCCGAGGGGCTGGAGAGGACAACAAGAGGGCACGATGGAATTTGTACGATTTTCCTATAATAAAATAGAGCCCTCGGGGTCTGGGCATCGGGCACTTGGCCTCAGGTACGAATGGAGGTAAAGATCCCACGGGTATTGAGGCGTTTTGCAAATCGACAAACCCCCCGGGGTCATCATCTAGGCGTGCTCAGGGGGCTAACACACTTCGTACCGTGTCTTTTGAGACAATGCTAATAAATCCTCTAGGTTTTTGAGGATATTTATTGTTATTTCTTGGCAATGCTGAAGGAGGAATGCGTCCGCAGAGAATGCAAGTCTACATTTACAGAATTTTAAACAATTACAATTCTAGCTTGAACATTCTTTGGATTTTTATTGTTGGTGGGTCTCTGTCAGGGGTGATTCATTGTTTAATGGACACGGAGACCTATTTATTGTGTATTTGTGAAGATTGGCGACGTTTATGATCGAAATGAAGATTTCGAGGAAAATTTATTTTCTTCTTTTCTTCTGTGTAGCATTTCGCATTCAGGTTTTATTCGAATTTTGGGGCGTTTTCGTGAATTTATTGGGATTTCGGTTTACAACGTTTCCCTTTGCAAAAGGGCCTCGTGCTCCGAGTTGAATAATTGGTCCTGACAAGTTCTACTTAGGTCTTTCGGTTCAGAACTGGATAGGTCTTGGGAAGCCTCTTCCCAGGTGCTTCCGCGACCTTTCTACCTCTGGTTATGTCCCATTTCAGCACTCGTTACGTGTCACCAGGACTTGTCTTCAGCCCTTCCAAATCCAAGCCAGCCCCCTTAATTCTATGGGCCTATAAAATCCTCTCCTGTTTTCTTATATCTCCCCCCCCCCCCA